ACAAAGAAGGGTATTTTTATTAATATCCATGATTTATGAAATTAACAAGCTTATTTCATGACATCAGTGAAAACCTTTTGAAGTATTTGCTAAGCTGTCTACAAATATATGTGTTTTCCAGTTTCAATGTGAAAAAGGGTCCTATCTACTACCACTAAATATTTTCAGCAAGATACTATTATTTTGTTTATTGAAAAAAATATTTGCATTGTTCTTAACTTTCTCTTTAGAGAGACGTATTGTGTCTGCTTTTCAACTTGTCCTCATTTCTGTAAAGGTAAAAAAGAAACTGTGACAGTCTACTTCAGTGACATTTTTTTCTTACTGAAGGCTGATGCACAGATAGGTTATAATGAGATAGTTCTTTACATTTTTTCTCTATGGGTTGTGACAGAGTGGCAGCTGGTAAGAGTGGGGTGAAGAGATCTGAAAGGAAATGCAGGCCTTATTGAAATCAGTGATTTTTATCACTGGCCTCAAGGGGCCAGGGGTTTCACGCTGAGACTCAAGACTTTTGGAAGCCAGGATCCCAAAGCCTTGTTCCCACATATAGTAATTTGAAGTGTGTTGTACCATGCTTATGTAACCAAAATACTGCACAATGAATCCATTATATATGTATTTTCCTCATTTTGAAGTTTCTCATACCATGTGGTTTATAATAATGGCTCTTCTGTTATTCTTGTGTAGTACAAAGTTGTATAACTCAGAGAAAATTAAGAAAGCACTGTGCGGTCTAGCTCAACTTAAGTATCGCAGTGCTTGGTATTGATACTTAAGTACTTATACTTGGTATTAGCCCTTCCTTAAATGTTTGTTCTCTCTCTAGAGAGCCCACAGGCAGGTATTGCAGCACAGCACGCTCATAGCTAGAAAGCAAAGGCACGTTCAGTCACCAAGTTCACATTGCCAGATACCAGTGAACAGAGGAGTTTGGGACAGGCATATTTGTCACTGCTGTCATCTCACATTTTTTTATTGCTGTTGTACCTTATCATAAAATCTGAGGATAAATACTGAAAACAAAGAATTTCTAGTGTAACCTGAGCATACCCAGCAAGGAATAACTTAAAGGATGAGGCCCTCCCATGCATGGAAAGCATGGAGAAAGAATTTTTGGCAAGAAAGACCTCTTCATAGATGTCCTTCAAAACATCCACTTGGAGTCTATTTTAGCGAGAGTGGCTTTCTGTTGAAACGCCCTGTCCCAAGCCTGGGCACTAATCAAGATGAGAGTGCTCTTGTATGGACACCCTGCCCCTTCACATGGACTCTGGTCCTTGCTAGACTTCTAGGTCTTTGGCTGTACAGCTCAAATCAGAAGTTACTTGCTGGGAGCAGCTGTGGATCCCTGGGGCAAAGCAACATAAATTGCTGAATTCTCAGGTACCTAGTTTGGGTCAACCTCTGAAGAGGCCTACTTCTCTCCAGAAAGAGGCTGGGGAACCTAGACCTTTAGAGGACTGTCTTTTAGATGAATCCCTCCTTCATATTTTGATTTTTATTAATATTTTGTAGCTTAAAGATGAACTATAGGAACCTTCCATTTCACTTCCCCTTTGCCAACCCTTATTACTGGTACTACTTTCTTTATAGCATCCTGTTTTAATGACACAGCTGGTCCCTTACCTCCTGAAACTGACCTTATACCTACCTAAACCCCTGACTTTAGATTGTGCAAAATGAATGCAAAGTGGCTGTAAAATGTTTATCAATTAAACCTATAAAGCCAGGCTGTGAAAGACATTCTGGTTGACTGAGTTCAGAGCTGTCAGGCAAACACATTGCATAGTCCCCTTCATAAATTTACCAAGTCCTGTTTTAAAGCCACTTCAATTATTGCTCTTCTCATTAGAGAGCTGTTACAGACCTTCATTCCTCTGGTGATTAGAAACCTGCTTGTTATTTCTCTTCTATTTTTTTCCACAAAATTTTCTATATCTTATAAATTCAATTGTCTTTGCTCTAGTTTAATCTCTGGGATGTACTTGAAGAAAATAATCATGTCTCCTCTTCATTACAACAATGCAAATCACTGCTGTCAACTAGTGGTGTTTGGACTTTAGTTGTGAAATTAGCAGCTGCTCTCCCATTACACAGGCATACAAAATGGCTCCAGAGCAGAAAGCAAAGAACCTGCTCCATTAAAATTCAGCAGATTTAGCTCAGCTGACACCAGTAAGGATGACAGTAAAGGGAAATAGAAGTCTAGCTTAATATATGACAAACATCTGTGGAATTAGGCCATAGTTATGTTAAAACAATGCAGTTATTAATTACTTTGCAACACATTGTAGATTAATCATCTTTAATTACCAACAAACTTGAGCTTATAAAAATACCTGCAAGCTACATTTTTACAGCAATGTGTATTTTAGCTATCACTGATGTGTATTTAGATATCACTATTATCAGTGCCATGTCTTTCTTCAGTCAAAACTTCAACTTTTTTCTCTTTTTCACTTTGTCATCTAAACTTCTAGACTTCTTTGTCTTCGAGGAATCTCTTTGTCTTATTTTCCACAGAATATCAATATATATATACTGTATAGCACTTCATTTCTTCAGCTTTAAGAGTTTTGAGTGATATTACCCCACAGATATTTCTGCCACACAGTGCAAAAAAAGCTGCTAAAACTTTGGAAAGAAAGGTAATTCAAAGGTATTTAAGGGGAGGGCATACTTTTGTCCTCATTCTGTAAACTTACTGAATTTTACATTTGGTTCTTTCTAAGCACATACTGCAGATAACTCAGTGGTGGATTACTCTGCTGATTCAAGAGCATAGTTAGTACACAGCATAAAGGAAAGCCTGTTTTTATACATACCTTTGTAGCTCATGGAGACTTTTGACAGTCAGGGAGGCAACTGGCTTGTGTGTTTGGACCTGCACCTGAAGTAGACATACATTATGATGGGAATGAAAAATGGAGTCTTCTGGTGCGTAGTGTGAAAACAGGGGAGAAAAAAATGGGGGGGGACACACCTCTACTTTGGTGCTTGAACCTGATTAGAACAACCCTTGATCACATTTTGTTCAAAGAAACATCTTGTATCAAAACAAAAATTCCCCAGTCATTGCTTCATATTTCTTCCTGACCGTAGCCATGTTCTACTTCCCTGTGACGCACTCTTACTTCAGCTTTTGAAACTGCTATTTCTCCTCTTCATTAACTGCATTGTCCTTCAAAGATGTTAACTTGAACTTTGTTGCTGCTCATGAGTTTGACTACTCTGACTTCCCCATTCAAAAAACAAGCATATCTGAAGCACCCACATACCAAAAAGAGCATTCCTGGGCCACCATGTTCCCTTGAGGATGCACATGAAGGGATGACAGTGAATGATAAGAGCTATGTTTTACAGTTCTGTACTCAGTGCATCAAAGCACGTTTTATGTTACCCAACAGGCCTTGCTGCCAACAGCATCATCAGGTTTAATACGGAAATACAAAGATGAGTTAAGGGGTGGAGGGAACAATAATACAAAGCTTATGTTTGTGAACCCAACGATTTCATT